AACACCAATCTCCTGTGTTGTTATCCTTTGTTTTGTTGTCCCATCCATCCACCCCAAACTCCTCCTGATGTAGACTTTATTGCTCTTTATACTACATCACCACACTTTCCGCTTTGTTCCTGTCATAATTATTACAACCACTAGATGTTGCCTAACAACAAACAAAACCACTAAAACCAGACAGTTAAAGAGGTCTACACCTTGGCTTAGACAGGAAATATGAGCCCTAAAGCAGGCCTGCAGGAGATTGTAGCGCAAATGGTGAAAATCAAAATTTGAGTGTGTGTGTGTGCGTGTGTGTATGGCCTTGCTCTGTCATACATATTTGCATCAATTTTAAAGTGATTTGATTGAAAACACTAATGCAATGCAGGACAGTATCAAAGTATCAAAGACTCAGTACAGACTGTTTTCATGAGTTGTCAGAGTCAGATGAGAAGTGCATCAACAACACAATGAGAAAACGTCTTTAGTAGTGAACTATGTGTGGACACAGTGAAAGTTTGTACAAACACAATGAGAATTTCTAATGTGTGGGGAAATGATGAATTAGGAGATTACACAAGTAGTGTCCTGTGTTACTTTGAAAGACTGCACTGTGGTTATAGAGCAGTTACATCCTGTTCTTGTCAGTGTGTCTTTGTGTGTGTGTGTGTGTGTGTGTGTGTGTGTGTGTGTGTGTGTGTGTGTTTGAGATAAATATATCTGAAGATTAAACCAGAGGTCATCTCATCATCAAGTGTTGTTTTCACCAAACTGCACGCAGTCCTCACTTTCATTCTAAATTTGACGTCACACAATGTCAATAATTCACCATCACAAAAACTGAGGAAAATTGTGAGTCTATATTGTTATGTCACGACACCGGCGACAGTCAGGGAAAGAGGCGTCATGTTGTCAGGTTGTCCGTCCGTTTCATTCTTGTGATATCTCAGTAACACCTTGAGGAAACTTCTTCAAATTTGGTAGAAACATTAATTTGGACTCAAGGATGAACCTATTAGAATTTGGTGGTAAAAGTTGGTCACTGTCACCTCACAAAATGATAATACAGCTTGTATCCTGAAAAGTCCTGTCCACAAATCCTAACTGACATTGCCCAACACAGAGGGTCCCAAACTTTTCCATGCCAAGGACCCCCCCCCCCGAATAGCATTAGCTTCTGGCCAGGGACCCCATTGGCAAACCGACTGACAATACAACGGCAAATGTTAAAAAAACAAAAAAGAATACAGAGTGGTATAGTCCTTTCTTACATGTAGCCAATAGTTAGACAGGGAAGGAGCCTTCAAAGTTCAGTTTGAAATCTTTTAAACAGAGGTTCATCTCATTCAGCTCCTCCTCAAATCCAGACTAGAACCTACACCAGGGGCAAAGGGGTCCCTAACCCAGTTTATATGGGTGTTTAAAAGGTCAGGGAAAGGTCTCTGAAATATACATGGAGGTGCTCAAGGTGGGACTGGATCAGTGGAGAGATGGGGCCCAGCTCCTGGTGAAGCAGTGGGAACATTTTTGTAACTCCCAATTGACCACAGCATAATCTTCTTGGATAAAGCATGCACTTTGTTTTGCACCTACAGTGTCTGGGTATCACACCACTTCAATACATTTAGATGTACAGTACATGTATTGACATGTTTGCAAGTCTGTGAATCCTCAATGTATCCGTAAATTGATCTTCCAGTTGATGATTTTCTGATGAGAGGAACTCTGCAACCTCCCTCCACAGCTCATACACGTGGTTCAAAACTGTCCCCCATGATACCCAGCGCACATTAGAGTGAAGCAGCAGCCCCTCAAAGCAGGTGCCCGTCTTTACTAGTCGACTTTCTGCACAGTAGCTGAGTCACATGACCTCCCACTCCAACAGCCTGTAGAGCACTTCCTGTTGTTAAACCGTGCCATCTTAGATGTGGCAAACTCAGCTCTGTTTATTTTTCAGCCTTTCTTCACTCCACACTCAGACAGAGACTTATCCACATCCATGTCCACTGTCATCCTCATTTTCCGGCTTCTGGGGTTGCACCATTACATCCTGTTCTTGTCAGTGTGTCTGTGTGTGTGTGTGTGTGTGTGTGTGTGTGTGTGTGTGTGTGTGTTTGAGATAAATAAATATATCTGAAGATTAAACCAGAGGTCATCTCATCATCAAGTGTTGTTTTCACCAAACTGCTGAGTCCAAATCTCAGCTGATAACAGACACTACTTGGTTTAACTCCCTGCTGTGGTCAGTTTATGTTGACAAATTTTTCCCTCTGACTTCTACACAGTCCCCACTTTCATTCTAAATTTCACATCACACAATGTCAATAATTCACCATCACAAAAACTGAGGAAAATTGTGAGTCAATATTGTTATGTCACTACGCCGGCGACAGTCAGGGAAAGAGGCGTCATGTTGTCAGGTTGTCCGTCCGACTCATTCTCGTGATATCTCAGTAACACCTTGAGGAAACTTCTTCAAATTTGGTAGAAACATTAATTTTGACTCAAGGATGAACTGATTAGAATTTGGTGGTAAAAGGTCAAAGGTCAAGGTCACTGTCACCTCACAAAATGATAATACAGCTTGTATCCTGAAAAGTCCTGTCCACAAAATTATAATGAATCATGTACTAGTTCAACGACATCTCCCCTCCACATCCTTTCTAATAGGAGCATTTTGTTGGAGGCTTTGTTAAAGTATTGGTGCAGGGTGGACACCCTAACTGCAAGGCTCTATTTGTAACAATCAGCAGAGTGTGTAAGAAATGGATGCTACCAAGGTACACCATGCACTTTGAAAACTGCCCTGAGCTGTAAATAAACATAGAAGGATGCGTCTGGCAGATTGAAGTTCTTGTTTATGTCCTGTGTATGTCTTTATCAAAGATATGACACAAAAAAGGAATACCCCCAATCAACAGATCCCTATTATTAAAGATCTGCAGGGCCAAATCCTAACTAACATTGCCCAACACAGAGGTTCTCAAACTTTTCCATGCCAAGGACCCCCCTGAATAGCATTAGCTTCTAGCCGGGGACCCCATTGGCAAACTGACTGACAATACAAAGGCAAATGTAAAAAAAACAAAAAAGAAAACAACTTCTGAATATTATTGATGCAATAATAATTAGATTTTTATGTCAAAACCTTAATCATTCCATTAGATTTCTGTTTTCTATTACAAGCATTGTATGTCATTTTAGTTGAACAACAATGTGTGTGTGTGTGTGTGTGTGTGTGTGTGTGTGTGTGTTTGTGTCTGGGAGTGAGAAATGTGTATATGCGTGTATATATAAATGTGTAACTTTTTTCTCCTTTTTTTCCCTGATATTTTCTTCTTTTGTTTTTTTTTTTCAAACATTTCTTTATTGAATCATCTGTTTAAGATAAGGAACAACACCAAACAAGACAACACATATAAGTGCACAGATACAGCATATATGATAATGAATAAACAATGATGAGTAAAATTAAATAAAAATCACTAATAATAACAATAATTGAAAATAAATAAGATTTTAAAAGAAAGGGGGTGGGTACAGCCCTATACAACAGTTAGTTCAGTTCCATTCATCATTTCAACTTTCTACTTCAATATTATTACATTTCAGGAAGTTACAACATGTTCCAAAACCTGCCAGGTTTGTTCTTTATAATGCAACAAACACATGTTTTCCTAGGAAAAGTAAAAGGTCATTCCCTTCAGTCATTGTGAAATTGTACAGTTTTTTTTCCTCTTCCATGAGTAGGCTGTACAATGCTTTGCTTCCCAGACGCAGATGTTGAGTAAGGACCTGACATTTAGAAGTCACAAAACCATGTGGGTAAATATTCAATGTACACAGTTAAAGATTAAGAGGAACCTCTTTGCCTATGATCTCCTGATATCATCATTATATTGTCTGTGACACTTTGGCAATATTGTCCACCTGAATTCATGTCAATAAAGCATATTGAATTGAATTGGCTTAGTGGCTCCTACACAGTTTGTCAAGCCTGCCTTAATGTCATGTCACTGTACACATGTAGATGTGCTCTGTGTTTTGTTTATACTTTTAAAGTTGAAAAGCCTCACAAAAGTAGGTTGTTGCAAAGGGGAGAATGCAGGTCAGTGTCCTTTCAGCCAGAATGGTATAGTCCTGGGGCGTGAAGTAGCTCAGTTGGTTGAGCATCTGCCCCATGTGCAGAGGCTAAGGTCCTCGCTGCAGTTGGCCCCGATTCGAGTACCGCATTGGACAGCCCTTTGCTGCATGTCATTCCCCCTCTCTCTGCCTCCCCACTTCCTGTCTCTCTCTACTGCACTGTCAATAAAGGCATAAAAGGCCCAAAAAAATAATTAAAAAAAAAAAAGAATGGTATAGTCCTCTCTTACATGTAGCCAATAGTTAGACAGGGAAGGAGCCTTCAAAGTTCAGTTTGAAAGAGAGGTTCATCTCATTCAGCTCCTCCTCAAATCCAGACTAGAACCTACACCAGGGGCAAAGGGGTCCCTAACCCAGTTTATATGGGTGTTTAAAAGGTCAGGGAAAGGTCTCAGAAATATACATGGAGGTGCTCAAGGTGGGACTGGATCAGTGGAGAGATGGGGCCCAGCTCCTGGTGAAGCAGTGGGAACATTTTTGTAACTCCCAATTGACCACAGCATAATCTTCTTGGATAAAGCATGCACTTTGTTTTGCACCTACAGTGTCTGGGTATCACACCACTTCAATACATTTAGATGTACAGTACATGTATTGACATGTTTGCAAGTCTGTGAATCCTCAATGTATCCGTAAATTGATCTTCCAGTTGATGATTTTCTGATGCGACACGTGGTTCAAAACTGTCCCCCATGATACCCAGCGCACATTAGAGTGAAGCAGCAGCCCCTCAAAGCAGGTGCCCGTCTTTACTAGTCGACTTTCTGCACAGTAGCTGAGTCACATGACCTCCCACTCCAACAGCCTGTAGAGCACTTCCTGTTGTTAAACCGTGCCATCTTAGATGTGGCAAACTCAGCTCTGTTTATTTTTCAGCCTTTCTTCACTCCACACTCAGACAGAGACTTATCCACATCCATGTCCACTGTCATCCTCATTTTCCGGCTTCTGGGGTTGCACCCCCCCCCCCCCCTTTGTTTGGACCGAGCATTCAGGGTCTTCCCTCGCATGAATGTGGACCCTTGTGGTTTGTGCAACTTCCTCCAAAGGATTTTCAGCAGGGAGGGGCGAAGGATGATGAAGACCCAGGGGTTAAGGATGGAGTGGAATGACAGTAAACGTAGAGCTCTGAGGTCAGCGGCGTGACGTTCCTCATGGCTGCCTGTTAAGTTTACGTACACTCGGAGCTGGGAGGGGGGTGATAAACATAAGGTTTAAGAGTAAGGACAGGATTCTGTGGCACACAGCAATGAAGAAACCAACTGAACTACCTAACTAACTTGCTAACTAACTAACTGACTGACTGATTGAGTTTTATTATTTTGCTCAAATGTCCTATCATCATGTTAGTAACTAACATACTTTGCTCACACACACACACACACACACACTAATTATGCTAAAAAGTCATTTAAGTGTTGAATAAAAAGCTTCGATATCAAGTTTTTGTCATAATGTTACATTTCACCCGTGTATGTTACAACTAACCCGGACTATGAGGTGAATTGTAACATTTCACTCCTCGTGTTTGAGAATAAACTAGACATGTTCTGTTTGTGATTTACTGAACAGAAATGTTAAAGATGTTACAGCTATCCTCAGTCTCCCCTACTGTGGCTTCAGTTGCCCAGGATGTAGAAACAGTAGGAGCATCATTTATTTCTCCCTTCCACTAACGTGCAGCGGTTGCTCCTTGTTCCACAGTTTCACTGGAGTCTGATTCAACAACAACACTGTAAACCACATGCTGGATTTGCCACTAAACTGCTGTCAAATTTCAGCCATTTCGAGTCATAGATCTTACCACTAAGGGGAGGGTGCAGCAAATGAAGACCACAGTGATGATGGCCAGCGGCAGCAGATGCTCCACTTCCTCCGTCATGGATCTTGACGCAGAATGCGCAGACACTCTCCTCCTGTACATCATCACCAAGAGGAGGAGAACAGCTATGTTGCACACCACCGTGGTAGAGGTAACGATGAGGATGAAAGATGCGTAAAATCCGATGTAAACTTGGCCCTTTACCTCCGCGTGGCTCATGTCCAGGAAGCACCAGGTTCCAGGGCAGTACTGCACGTATTCACCAAAACCCAGGAACGGAGCGATGCAGAAAATGACGCAGGCCAGATAGATGAGCGCAATAGTGACGTAACCACAGCGTTTGCTCAGGTGCCTCTCGTAAAAGTAAGGGTGACCTATGGAGAGGTAGCGCTCGAGCGCCATTACGCACAGGATGGCCAACGTGGAGAGGCTCAGGAAAGTCATATTGAAGCCAAAGTAGGAGCACACCTCCGCGTTGGCGCTCATCCCTACTAGAGTTTTCCTCTGAGCATAAGCTGACAGTACAACAGGACTGACGGAAACGGAGCCGAGCAGGTCCGTCATGAGCAGCGCAGTCACCAGGACATGGTACAGGGACGGGCTGGTCCTCCTGCGCCGGACCTCCAGCAGGACCAGGGCCATGATGTTGCCCACGACACCCGCCGAAAACATCACCGCTGAGGTGATGGGCTGTCCGGACTCCACGTCCACAATGTGATGGCATCTGTAGTAATCCGTGGAGTTATTTTCAGTAGACATGAAAAGTACAGGAGCCGGGACGAAGCCAGTGAAAATAGGTGGTGGTCTGCTGGCGCACACGCTGCAGCCACAGAGCTCAGGTTTGGCCCCTCCCCTCATCCTATCACACACACACACGCACACACACTAAAAGCCTACTGTATGTGGTGTGAATTCACTGCACTATAATCGATGCTATGTTCTAAGTTTGATTGCATACTTTTCTTGTGTCTGTCTATTTTTCAATGCATAGTTCCATGTTTATCATTTTGCTTTCCTCAGCTGTGTAAATTTACATATACAATTTTTCACACATTTTCTAAACTAGGTCTCATTTTTTTCAAAACTACACACAAAGCACACAAAAAATGCAAAGTGCCACATATCTGCTGCAAAATGAAACACTCCATTGAAAATCATAAACACATCTAAAAATCAAATATTTGCATCGAATGCCAAACACTTTTTTCATTATCTGAATTTTTGGATAAGCCATGTTCTAAATCTAAACCTCTTCTCATCTTCCACAGGCTTGTGTTTACATTTCAATACAGTATTGTAAGGTGAAAGTACAGTAATCTGTTGAGAGTGTCAGGCTCAGGACACAAAGGTGGAACCCAAAAGCACGATCCGAGAGGCAGTTGACAATCAGGCAGTTTATTGTACAATTCAAAACAAAAAACAACAACAGCGTTCCAAAAACAGACTGGCAAGCCCAATGGAGACAGGCGATGAATCCAGAGGGAAAAAGCAGAGACGTGGTCAGGCGGGCAGGGTCAAAACACAGGCAGGCAGGACAAGGCAAAGGTACCGACAGGGAACAGGCAGGTCTTGGGAAACAGGTCACAAAAAAGGTCTCTCTCAAAGTAGCAATCAGGAAAACGCTGGTAAGTCACTCACTAGGGAAGAAAACAAACTGGCAAAGTGAAAAGGGACACACCGGGCATAAATATTGTGGGGATAACGAGACACAGGTGACACACATCAGGGAAAAAGCAGGTCATCACCCAGGAGGAAGTAAAGACACAAGAGGCAAACTACCAAAATAAAACAGGAAATGACAAGACAGACATAAAACACTAAGGCCTGGGGATGGTTGTGACAGAGAGGGGTTGAAATGTTCACAGTACAGTAAAAACAGATGTAATGTTGAAGCAGAATATAGTTATTTTTCCAAAATGTTACTGTTGTAACTGTAGTACATTATTGTGGCTGAACATATTTTACTCTATATTTTCTGCAGTTGTCTTTTTCTAAAGTCAGTCAAGTTTTTATCAAAATATCAAAACATTTGGTGTCTAAGTCTTGAAGCTCTGGTGAAAAGGTTTTATTCACTGGTGACATTGTTGACGTGACTTGACTGCAGTGGCGGCTGCTGGTCTTATAAGGAGGGGAAGCTCATTTTCGGCCTACATCATAAAATGTGTCCGTTTATTTATATGTAAATTCGCAGAGTGACAGAAGAGACTCGCCAAACACAACGCTAGTCGCTTGAGTGGTTGTTTGGCGCTGTTCGGAGATATACAGTAATTAGTAAGTTTAGTTTATTTTGATAGTGTTTTTTTTTTCCCTTTCTTCTCTCTCTCCGTTAGGCGTGGTGCTGAGGGGTTCGGGTGAGTGTCAGCTGGTGCTGAAGTTTGAGTGTATAATCCCCTGCTAGGTATAGCGGCGTGATCCCTTTGGGTTCGTTGAGTTTGTTTTTTTTTCCCTGTAGTGCTGCGGTGAACGTGGTTAGAGCAAGTGCTCGGGGGCACTCAGTGCGTAAATACCCGCCATGGTACTGCATGAAGACTAGGGGTGAGTGGAGTCAGGTAAGATTTGGGGCAGGTAGGTCAGATAGATGGGATTGTGCGATTGTGTGTAGGCACCGTGTTGGCGCTTGTTTTGGGGCTCTTGGATTGGTTGTTGTCAGTCTCTGGTTTGTTTGTGCGTAATGGCAGGGATAGGTGAGTTTGTTAACACTCCGTCAGAGGAGTTTTTGGACGGATGCGCTACGGAACAGCTGTTGAGAGTAGCAGAGCATTATCGAGTGGGTATCCCTGATAATCGGTTGAAGGAAAACATTAAAGATATTGTAACGTGAGGGTTCGAGATATGGTGGTTAGAATCACTCTGTATGTAAAGAAACAGCAGGATGGAGACGAATAACTTTCTCAAGCAGTACTTTATTGATCACACTTCTGACTCCCGTCACAACAACCAACACTTCCTGTAACAAAGTCATGTGACTTAACTAACCAATCAGAAGCTACAGCGACTTAGACTGAGGTAACTGTTAAAGAATCACATAAGCAGATTCAACAATTTATCATTACTGTTCACCAGATGTAATATAATGATTTAAATGTGCACACACAGATATGTAAATAATTAATTGTGTAAACATTTTAAACACATCTTTAGTGAATTAACTGAAATATATGAATTAACTTGAATTCATCAACTTCTAAATCTTACAATATTTTGAAGGCAAATTTAATTGAGATGGGTGTTTTGTCTGTCGGTCAGGAATGACCTCCCGTTGCTGTCGTGTCGCCGCCGTTGGCAGCTGGTGGGTTAACATTTGAACAACAAAAGAGTTGCTTATGTTACAGCTTGAGCACGATAAAATGAAACATACGGTAGAAGTGGAAAAGCAGCTGGCAGTTGAAAGGCTGCGCTCGCAGACTGAACAGGCGAAGTTGTCATTGGAGCAGTATAGGCTTGATTTACTTAAAGGGGACATATTATGCTCCTTTTCAACAAGTTCAAATAAGTCTCAGACGTCCCCAAAACATGTCTTTGAAGTTTCTTGCTAAAAAATCCACTCCGATCCTATATTTCAGCATGCCTGTAAACCCCTCTGTTTCAGCCCTGTTCAGAACAGGCTGTTTCTGTGTCTGTAGCTTTAAATGCAAATTAGCTGTGCCTGACCACGCCCCTCTCCGGAAGGGGATGCGGCTTGGGCTTCTGGCACCATGCTCTAATGTTTATGGTGACCGTGACAGGCGACCTGGCGTCGGAAGCGCTTTGGTTCAACCACAGTTCACCCCAGCATGACTTTATCCAGAATCTCCCCAGAGGGAAAGCTGCTGAAGAAGGTTCAATCTACAACTGCAGCAGCACGTTTCTGAACTGGTTGGTAAACCAATTTCTGTGATTTGACTTTAATTTTCAGTTTGTTGTGTGGTGCTGGGCACATAGTTACTAACGTTATGCTAGGTAGCTAATGCTTAACTTTTACTGTCTCGCATTAATGCGGAGCTCTTTTGGTAAATAAGCACTAATTTGTGGAATTGTGTAATGTATCATCTGTCATGCCTCCTTAGATATACTTTTACAGTCTATGAAACATGTTTTTTTTTGATGCTACAGGTATCATGTCACAACTAGCACAGTATCTTTAATAATCTGACACAGATAAATCATTTGATTTTTATATTTTTCTCATGTTATGAGCAGAGATGCTCATCATAACATCTCTTTTAGGTAGAAATTTATTTTGATTACAATGAAAGCTGTAAATTCAGATAAACATGTCTAATACAACAGTTAATCTTTAGTCAAAGACCTAAACTGGTCAGTTTTTCTAACCTACATTGGCTGTTGTCAAACTCCCAGGCTAATTGCAATAAGTATTGACCTGTTTATACACCCATGTTATATGCGTTTAATCGTAGCCCACTTCTACTTCTTACTCCTTAGCTCCACTCTCCTGTCAGTTTTTTAAATTTCATAACTCTATACTATTTTTCCGGCTGGATCTGTTACCTTTTTGTCTCTATATTTTTGGATTGGTGCTCCTCTCCGTGGATGTCTCATACATTCTCAGTGAAACCCTCATGACCACCAGAAGCTGAGAATATCTGCTGCTAGGAGATACCAACAGTACCGATTGTCGACTTAAGACAAACAATCATAATTTGTTGTCGATTACATTTTATAAACCAAGCATTAACCATTTGGTAAACTCACTGTAGGTTACCCGACGGCTATGGGAGATCGAGGAAGATTTACCATGTATGGTAGGCTGTCCTGGGTTGGAGCGCTCTGCCTCAATGTGTTATCCTCCAGAATGCTGCACAATGTACCGCGCTGACTACGGTACTTTACGGTTGAGAAGAACACCAGTACGGTTTTGCTCCTTTGTAAAAACATAGTTTCAATGTAAATAAAAAAATGTTAGGCCAGTCTTGTTTTACTTCACTGCACATATTTTGCAATGGTAATAAACACACCACAAATGGAGTAACACACCTCAATAAATTAGTTTAGCTGCTCTTTGATTTGTAGTTTTTCTATCAGCAGATAGTGTGCATATAATATATGAATTCAGAGGAGTCAATTTCTTAGTAACGATCAAGATTGTATTTACATCACAATGAAGGCACTTATAATCAGTGATATAAAAAGCTGTAGGATTCATGGATCCATAATAAATTGTGAGACACAACATAGATATGTTTGCAAGAACTAAATGCCCTTGTCCAGTTGTTTTAGTCGGTACAGTATCTAGCCTATAGGAGCTTTATGGTGCTGGTGTGGGCTTCCTTGGTCGCAGAATCTGGGTCGTCATTCAGCTGCCTGGTCCTACGCATCAGTGCCGATGTTTCCTGATGCCCAAGGCCAGTACGTGGGGTTTCAGACTGCCCATGATAGAACCGGGACACAATAGCTGGATATGACCTCCTCTTCTCAGGCCGCTTGAACTGTGCGTGAGGTCCTCTGGGAATCGGCGGCATGGCAA